AAAAAAAAAAAAGATTTCCAAACATATGGGTATCCCCTTGAACTTGATAAAAAGATAATCTGTTTACTATCTTGAGTGGAAAATACTGTTTTCATGTTCAGTTTTTCATTTTTAATTTGCTAATGTTAGTAACTGTTTACGTTAGAGTGCACATCCTACTGCGCTGTATTAATAGGTGAGCGGTTGAAAACTAGCGACCTTTCCTGTTTGGAGACAATATTAACATTATAAACTGAAAGCAATCTTTACCTGACTTACTTTTCAAATGTTTCAAAATTGATCATCCGTATAATATAATCCAGCGGGCCGGACTAAAAATGGCCCGCGGGCCGCCAGTTGCCCATCCCTGCTTTAAATATAAACTTTTATATCTTTATATCGCCAGTAGGTGGTGGCAAATCACTGAGTGAGTCAGTGACTACGTTTACATGGACATCAGTAATCTAATTATTTACCTTATTCTAAATAAGCCAATGTTATGATTATGGTGTTTACATGAGTTACTTTTAGAATATTAATTTCATGTTCCCGTTTTACATGTTATAGTACATAGTTCGATTAATGGCACACGTCATTACGTCCCCACGTGACGGCATCCGACGTCCCCTCCGGAATTTCACGTATAAACATATTGTTCGTTTTCGTGATGATGCCATGTACATTTTTGAGTGTTTCATTTTCAATTTTATGAAAGCTTCAAGTGCAGTTAATTATTTGTACGTGCATCTTGGATGGCGTCACGTGGGGACGTAATGTCGTGTGCCATTAATCGAACTATGTACTATAACATGTAAAACGGGAACATGAAAGGAATATTCTAAAAGCAATTCATGTAAACACCATAATCGCAATATTGGCTTATTTAGAATAAGTTAAATAATTAGATTACTGATGTTCATGTAAATGTGGTCACTGAGTCATTCATTCAACCGATTCGTTCGAAGTCAATTAATAATAACTTCTTGTTTATTGAACTGTTTTATGAAATCAATATCAAATTTGCAATCATGCTGATATTTGGACAAAAACTCTTTGTGTGTTATTAACTATATCAAATGATATAAATATAAAAGATATAAAAGTCATACAAGGGCATTTTTGCCCCCCTAAAATTGAATTTAGGGGGAATTCTGAATGTATTTTAATCTAAACGTGAACTCTAAATGCGCACGAGCAGTAGTCTAACTTACATCACTCTATGCATGCACTCTCTGGGTATGTTTTTGTTTGGTTTTTGCGATATACTCGATGTCAAATCGCATATCGTTAAACAACAGTTATGATATTATCACAGACAATATATATTGGACACCTCTATAGTTTATGCATCAAGTATCAAGTATCAGCATATAATTTTTATGATTATACATCTTTGGTTATTTATACATTGTCTGAATATTTCTTTCCTCCAGATCAAAAATGGGTTCAAGTTAACAGTGCAGAGGAAGCATTAAAAGTTGTGAAAATCGGAATGAAAAATCAAAGTTCTTCATCCACCAAGCTCAACAATGTCTCTAGCAGAAGGTGCTTCATTTTAAAACAGTTTAGCATTAATATTTAACTTGATCATTTTATTAAGTTTTGAAATTAAATAACATACATTTTCTCTATAGCCACAGTATATTTTCCATTCGGATCTTGCGGATTGAAGATGTGGGTGTTCCTCATGTTCAGACAATTAGCGAGTAGGTGACCTCAATTCCAATGTGTTTTAACATGGAATCATTGATTTATTCACTAATTTATTTATTTTCAAAGGTTGTCATTATGTGATTTGGCTGGATCTGAGCGATGTGCAAAGACTCAGAACCAAGGAGACCGCTTAAAAGAAGCTGGAAACATCAACACATCCTTGTTAACGCTAGGGAAATGCATCAATGCTCTGAGGCTCAACCAAACGCAACCCAAGTGAGAAAATGTTAATTTGTAGGCTGCATTAGTTGCATTTATCTTCTATTTCATTGGTCCTTTAAATTTCCTATTGAAAGTGGAACTTAGAACTCAACTAATATGTCTTTTTGCACAGGATTCATCAGCACATCCCCTTCAGGGAGAGCAAGCTCACACATTATTTGCAGGGTTTTTTCTGTGGCCGTGGAAAGGTCTGCATGATCATTAACATAAACCAGTGTGCCTCAGTGTATGATGAAACCCTGAATGTCCTCAAGTTCTCAGCATTGGCTCAGAAGGTTTGCAGGAACCTTTATTTGATATTGAATTATCAGGCATTTTTACTCTGTTTGCTATTTATTAATTTTGTTGTTTTACGTTTTGCCTTTATAGGTGGTGGTCCTCAACCCTAAACCAGCTCCTAGCATTGCTGTCAAGAGGTCTGACAGAAATGTGTCCATGATAATCAATAATGCTGACAAGAAGGATTGGACCAGGAGAAGCTCGCTCATGGGCTGGGAGATGAACCGAGAGGACATGCAGGAGGACAAAGATGATGAAGAAATGGGTGAGGAGGACGATGAGGAGAGTGACGATAAGAGCATGGAGGACAACATTGTCCTAGAGACTGTGGAAAGTCGAGAGCTGTTTGAGGTATTTTCCGTTTTAATGAATGCATGTTTTGGTTTTCAATGTTATTTTAGACTATATGATATCCTAATATGATACATTTGACACAGCTTCAGGTGAAAATTGAAGAGTTTAAAGAGAAGCTGTCCAAAGAGGAGTCTGAAAAATTAACTATGGAATCTCGTATTCATGAGGAAGTCAGGAAGTTCATGGAGCTGTTTTCTAACATGGAAAAAGACTACAAGTAAGTCAAACACTGTGTTTTATCACAGATCATAGTGGTGGACTGATGCTGTACAGCCTGGCAGTTAGGGAATATCACTGTGCTAATTGCGTTCAGCTAGTGTTGCACTATATATACATATATATATATACCTGTACTAAAAAGGTATCGCGATACCCCGCTTTTAAAAACGGTACGATTCCTCATTTTACTAGTACTGGTACTTTAAGAATGACAGCGTTTTAATAAGAACTGTATTTCCTGAGTTGTGTCGACATGCGACAGCAGGACAGTGTGTGTTCAGCGCTCTGCTTCAGCTCCGTGCATGAACTTTATATATCCGCGCAACACAGCACTGCTTAAAGTTATCGACAATTTAGGAGTGTATAAGAAACATGCATGAATGAGAAAATAAAGCGCAGGACGTGCTTGATGTTAAAAAGAATTATTAAGCATTATAAACCTCGAAGAAAAAGAACTCATGCGCTATTACACACCCGAAGCACGTGCACGGACGTCCTTTCTCTTGCGATCGCAAATTGAGATCTCTTTCAGCAGTTACTGCACTTCAGTGGTCAAATACACACACAATTAAGTTAAAATGCTGAAATGAACGTAAAAAGTTGAGAAAGAAAACGCGTGTGTATCAATAAATTGGTGTGCGTGCAGCTCTTAAAAGTGACAGCAAACTAATATTCCTGCTGCTGTCTGTCTCTACAATGTTAATCAAGAAAAATAGAAAATCACTCACTAATCCTGACTAACTTTACTAGCTTTAATAAGGATAAATGTATGAACGTTTCATTCATACAGTGAAGACTATACAGTGCTTTACTTTTACATTTTGATTACTTTATTCAATTTCTGTATCATCTCTTTCTTGAATGCGACTGTTAAATAGACCTACTGTCCCTAAAAACAGTTTATTTCATTTGTGTCTTTGTTTTATTGTATTTGTCCTTTTGTTTCTTACTTGCGTCTATGTTCTTATTATTAATAACAAAAATTACTATCATGATATAAATTGTTATTGTGAAATAAAATTACTTCTAGCGTTGAATAATATTTTGGTCATATTTCCTAGCTCATGCCCTAAGCTAACTTACTAATGTTGCAAAGATCTATACATACCTGTAGGCTCGGCTGTATCTTAGTCATAGACAGGTAGTTGCTCACCATAGGCCTGTGAGGTGGCACTGGCATGTTTTATTTATTTATTTTTTTAAGGGGGAGGAACACTGGTCAAGTGAGAGATTTCTTTCTTTTTTTTATTTATTTTTTTTATACATTTTTGTCATGGTATCAGTTCAGAAATAGTGAGATTTTTTAGTCAGGTATCATATCAAAGTAAACATTTTGGTATCGTGACAACACTACGTTCAGCACAAATTTGTTTTTTATTTTTATTTTTTTTTGGCCATGTTTGTGCCGCTCTTTTATTTGCATAATTCTTTTAGTGAATCGGACACTATAACAGTGCAGACATTGTGGTACTGTCAGCGGGTGCATTTCATTTTTAGTGTTTATTTAAGATGCGCTAATATATGTTGCTTTTTTCAATGTTTCAGTGACCGTCTCCAAAGAGCGAAAGAAATTGTTGAGGAAAGAAGGCTAGAGATACTGAAGAATCTGGTCAACAGAACTATTGGTGAAATGGCCGCTGTTAGCACTGACGAGAATGCTGCAAAGGTAATTGCAGAGGGTTTCATCTAATCAGAAAAATAAATAGGGACAAAATCAAGTGCCGTTTGTGTCTGCTGTTAAAAGCCTGTGAGAATATAGCTGTTATTTCTGTTGTCTTCTTTTGGTTCAGGGACTGGTCCTTTTTAGCTTCATTATAATCCTCAAACCTGATGGACCTAATTAAGTGGGTTTTAATAGTTAATGGCAGGATTTTATGACTGTAGATAGATTGATGTGTATAGATCGAGATGCATTTTATAGGTACAAGGGAAAAGTAGGGAATTCTACCATATCTGTATCAAGGCACACATTTAACACAATGACATTGAAATGACATAGAAATATATAATCTTTTTTTTCCTTCTCCGTATCCTTCTAGGAGGCTAAGATTGAGCATTTGGACAGCATGATCGAGGCAATGCGAGATGATCCAGCTAAGATAAAGGGAGATGCAGAGGCAGTACAGATTTGCCTGACAAATGTCCCTGAATCACCCAGAACAATCAGTGATTTGAGGACACAGCTGGAGGAGATGAGAGAGGAGCTTCTCAAAAGCCAACAACTTCTCAGTCTTAAAACTATAGGTGTGTTCAATTACCATGAAGGGGGAAAAACTCAGTGTTTTATGACATATGTCTAATTATATAATCTCTTTTCAGAGTTTGAAGCAATGTGTGTTCAAATGCAGGAATCAGATTACCAGCTTCTCCAAGCAAATAGAGTAATCTGAACTTAAGTTTTCTTTTAAATGTCTAAGGTTATTGTCAGTAGATTGTTTACATGGGCTACCTGGCTTCTGTTGTGTTGATCTTTGTTTGTTTGTCTTTTTTAGAATTGTGAAAACAAGAAACTTAGATGTCAGGAACTTATGTCAGTCTGTCAGGAGAAAAATGGCATGATCTCGACATTACAGACTGCTTTGGACCAAAATGTGGAGGCAGCTACTAAAGATGTAAGTTTATATTACATTACTGTGCAAAAGTAGTTTCACAAGGCTTTATTTACATGATCAAAAATACAGTACAAAAGTAATATTATGAAATATTATTACAATTGTAGATAACTATGTTCTTTTTTTAATGTATTATAAAATGTAATGTACTCTTGTGATCACTAAGCTGAATTTTCGGCAGCCGTTATTCCAGATTTCAATGTCACCTGATACTTCAGAAATAATTATAATATGCTGATTTGGTGCTCAAAAACATTATTATTCAGGGCTCGCAAAATTTCAAAAACCCTGGTATCTTCAGATTTTTGTATACCAAAATTAATTTAACTAGCCCAGATAAAAAATATAGTGGCTTAACTTCATTGTGAACAAATTAGCATGATCGAAAACTTCAGTGGTTTTATTTTTTCTTCAAATAACAAGTCAAGATTGTAGGGGTGTAATGGATCACAAATCATATGGTTCAGATAATATTTTGTGTATTGAGTCACAGATCGGATAATAGCATAACTAATAAAGGGCAAACATGATTAAAGACAAGTGAACGGTCAGTAATAAAATATGAATTAAAAAAAAAATACACAAATTGCAAGCATAGATAAAATAAAACAAAGCTACAAATAAAGTAAGATCTAACATTAGTTTTTAGGCACAGAAATGTAATAATTAAGTGTGAAATAACACTGCTTAGTGTTCACTGTATAAATTAAATATAGATTAATCTTTGTTAAAGCTGTGTTTTGTTGTTTGATTAACATTAAGGACACAGAGAGGTTTTTATAGGCTGCTGTCCCTTTAAGACCAAATGCATGGAACCAATACACATCCAATTTCTTCAGGGCTTGAATTTCGGCGTAGGATTATGCATCATTCTACTGATTCCTGTAGTTTCAGCGCTTGTAACATGGGAAATTCCCGCAAATATTTCAGTGTGAAAGACGCTTGGGACAGATGACGGAATGCATCATTTGCATGTGCTTTTGAGTCTTACAATTTTAAACATTCAAGCACTCAATTCAGTATTTGTGCGCTCTCTGCGAGAACCCTCACACGCGCACATAGAGCCGCATCTGAGAGCGCACAACTACAGAATGAAGTCGTGTTGCACCTTATTGCGTGTAAACGGCCAAATAGACCAATTTGGTGTTTGCAAACAGTGAAGATGTTTTTTGTGGGCGGAGCCTATTTGGTGGCAGAAAATGACAGTTTTAAAGTAGCAGTCTATTGAAACCATGGAATAAAAGAATAAAAAAGGTCATTTTGAGTTTATATTTCAAAATTCTGACTTTTTTCTCGCAATTCCGAGATTACTCGGATCTCATCATTCTCTCTTTTCCCCTCGGCTCAGAATCCCACACTTATAATCCCACACGTCTGGCTTTTTTTCCCCTCAGAATTGACAAACTTGCAATTGTTGTGTTAAAAAAAAAGTCAAAATTGTGAGATAAAATAGGTAAATGTTATAGGTTTAAATAGTAGGCTATTTCATGCTGTAACTGCAGGGCTAATACAATATGTCCCCTATGAACTGCATATGTGAATATTATGTAGACCTATTGTTTAAATCAAATTTATGCTTTAAAAGTAGGGTAATCATAGCAGGTTTCATCCATAATCTGTCCGTTTAAATGTCTGCGTTTAGCTTCAAATGGTGTCTTTGACGACAGTATTCTATAAAAATTATTTGCATTCCGATTCTGACATCCAAAGGCACAACAATACATAACTGTGACATCTACTCCAAATTGGTCTATACATACAAAATTATGTCAAAATGCCAGTCTTGATGAGTATTCACGTAATCAGTTGATTTAAACTAAACATTGTCAGTATATAGGCTATTAAATGAATGTAAACAGTTGAGAAACAAAACGTACATGTAACAGTAAGATCCGTGCATGAGGTCTTAAAAGAGACAGCAACCTAAATAAACCTGCTGCTGTCTGTCATTAATGTTTATTTATACATTGAAGACTAAATCAAGTTAAATAGATTATTCAGTTTATGTGGTATTTTGGTACCTGAATATTACTGTTATACCTACCTGACAAACTTAAAGCAGAGTTAATTTTAGTTGTATCTTGTTATTGTATTTGTTTGTGCCATTGCTTGTCATTTATCTATTCTTATTTTTTTACTGACTGTTTACTTGTCTTTTATAGTTAAAATAAATTCAATTCAGAGTTTGAAATCAAAGTTATTTTTAAGTATCTTCCTCACAATATAAATATGAATCAACAACATTATAAATTGTAAAACACAAATACACTGGGTGACGAAACATTTAGGTTGGATGACTTTAGTTTAAAAATATGTCTCAAATTAAAAAATCCCCCCATAAGAGCCAACTAAAGGTGTGGAATTCCTAAAACGAAATTCAGGCCCTGTTCTTTCGGTTTACGTTCACTTCATTGAAGACATAACTGACTGTTTAAAGCCCGGAAAACACCAAGCCGACACCAACGAACTAGTGGCGACGAAAGCAGAATGCGGGGTCGGCTCACGTCGGCAGCGTCTGGGTCCAAAGTTGCCCTGACACACCAAGCCGACACGACACTTGACGGCCAAGTAGCACATCTGTTCTGCGTTTTTTCTCGTGCACTGGTTCGCCAGCTGAACAGGCAATCAGAATGATCAGATGTTGTCGACTGACCGACGAGCTCCGACACCGATTCAACATGTTGAATCGGTCGGAAAAAAGCTGACGAGGACCAACTTTAGCCGACGGTGCGGAACACACTGAGAAAACTTAGTCGGCCGACGAACAAAAACTGCCCAACGGCCGGCCGTCGGCTTGCTGTGTTCCAGGCTTAAGAGAATACTTGCAGAGACTGGTATTTTAAGATAATTTTGTGTGTATTTGTCCGTTCAAGCACGTTGAAATGCAACTCTCTGTGTGCACAAATAACAGCAGAACAAATAACAAATCTGTGAGCTCTCTTTCGCCTCTTCTTGCTCTTGAATGGTTTAAAACACTTGAATGTTTAAATTGGCAAGACTTGGAAACAAGTGCAAATGATCAGTTATTATCAGTTTCACCCCTACAAGTGAGTGAACTATGCAAACCAAGGAAGGGATTTTACTTCACAAGATAGCTCCATTGGGCAGGGTGGTGATACATTGTGGTAGCCTGACTGTAAAACACAATAGCCCAGGGATGTTGGGCTAGCGATTTTCGCAAGCCCTGTTATTATCAATGTTTAAACCAGTTGTGATGCTTAATATTTTTGTAGAAATCATGATTTTTTTTCTTCAGATTATTTAATGAATAGATGTTCTAAATAATAGCATTTATTTAATGCACCCTTGCTCAATAAAAATAGATTAGATTCAACTTTGTCATTGTGCAGAGTACAAGTACAGAGCCAATGAAATGCAGTTAGCATCTAACCAGAAGTGCAAACAGCAATATGCATTTAAATGAATATAATATATATGTGTGTGTGTGTGTGTGTACCTACTTAACCATATTTTGGGGACAAATTTGTACCCAAAAGTGAGCTAAACCTGACAAAATCTCCCAAAACCTCCCTTTGGGGACGTCCTCATTTGTAACACTGGTATAAAAATAAAGTAAACAAAGTTTTTTTTAAATTGTAAAAACCGCATTCTCGGAAAACGCGCTGTGTGAACAGAACCGGACTGGACAACTAGTTGTCTGTCATACAGTGTGAGAGAGAGCCACTCTGCTGCACAAACGCGAGTCTACTGTGTGTTGTGTGTTTTCATGGTTTCAATAACTTACAGTGACGGAGAAATGAGCTGTGTGTCATCTGAACGTTTTGGATCCAGTCTCCACCGGAGCCGCTCCCGTCAGTTTTGTGTTCTGCGTGCGGCTCAAATACTCCGCTCTCCACCCAAATATAAAAGCTGCTGTCAGTTAATGAAGATTTGACAGATTAATTTGCGGCTCGATTGGACTTTTGTCATGTCAGAAAGTGATAAGACTTTCAGTTTTATGGATGTCGCCATCTTTGATATTACTTTGGTCACTGTCGCTATGGTAACTGGTCAGGAATCGTGTTTTCATGGTTTCAATAACTTACAGTGACGGAGAAATGAGCTGTGTGTCATCTGAGCGTTTTGGATCCAGTCTCCACCGGAGCCGCTCCCGTCAGTTTTGTGTTCTGCGTGCGGCTCAAATACTCCGCTCTCCACCCAAATATAAAAGCTGCTGTCAGTTAATGAAGATTTGACAGATTAATTTGCGGCTCGATTGGACTTTTGTCATGTCAGAAAGTGATAAGACTTTCAGTTTTATGGATGTCGCCATCTTTGATATTACTTTGGTCACTGTCGCTATGGTAACTGGTCAGGAATATGGGCTTGACTCCCATTGCACGTTCATATAGACAGTATCCGAGAAGCTAACAGCTGAGTAGGGATGCCCGATATTATCGGTACGTTATTGGAATCAGCTGATAAAGGGAGAAGGGTCTGGCTGCAGACTTGCACTTGCACTCTCATGCCTTGTCCAAATACCCACACTTGCAGTCTTGGCCACTTGAGAGCGCGTGCGCGCGACAGGAAGTAAGTGCGCAAGACTGGCCCAGGTCTTCAAAACGCCAAAGAACAGTGCCCCTTAACACACACTAAATCCCCACTTTCTTGAATACCGCTCCGGAGCGCTATTCAAGGTTTAGTGTATCCCATCATGCATCATGTTTTGGAATAAATCGTAAGATTTTTGCAGAGATCTCTCGAGAGGTTACGGAAACTTTTCCAATGTAAGTTAAATATTAATATAATAATTAGATAAGCTAATATTACATATAATTTGGTAGAAAAACAGTGTTGCACGTTTTACTGGTGCAAAGATGAGTAGTGGTGATATTTATTTTGTACAACATTTGCAACTGCTTTTCATCACTTAATTAGAAGCAGCTGCAACTTAAACTGTCATCTGTTATAGGCACTACTGAACAGATATTAGAAGTTGATTTTAAAATGCAAAGTATTGAAAATAATGCTATTAAAATATCAAATTCAATATATAGTTTATTAATATAATAATTATGTATATAGTATTTTCCTCCCAAACCGCAAAATGTGGCATAGATGGCCATGAACACAATGCGCAAACTTCCACTTGTCCTCCCATACAGCAAAACGCGTAATGTGGCATAATTACGGACTAAGGCGATAAAGACAATTCAGTAGCCTATATGTCTTGTTGTTGACGCAAAGTATATACAGACCAGCAGATATGAACATGCATTATGAAATGCATTAAGTGATATTAAAAGGATCAACTCCGGACCCTGTACGTTATTGTACTAAATTAGTTTTAATCATTAAATCACCACCACAGTGTCTTGTCTCCATTGGCAACACGCAGATTTGTGTGGATTGCAAGTGACGTCGCAGGTAGCGGAGAGTGCAAGTGGCGATTGCAAGTGACATTGTAATTTAGTTTCTATTTTTTTCTTGTCTTCACCACCTGGCTACTGTAGTAAAATGTTGAGAGATTCAAACAAACAAAAAATCAATAAATAGAACAAAATAAAAAATAAAGACTGCAAGTGACGTCAATTGCGGAAGCGCAAGTGTCTGAGAGTGCAAGTGCAAGTCTGCAGCCAGACCCTGTTGGATAAAGGCTTAAAATATAAACATTCGGCATTGGCCAATTTGAAAAAATGTATGCCAAGCCGATAAAACGAATAGCTCACATGTGCTCAGGGTTTGCTAGCGAACACATCAGCAGTGCGGTCATTCTTGAAGCGAACATTTGCCTGTATGATGATTACATTCACAGTTTTGGATTGCCGCATTTAATTTGAGAATGCACATACAGAATGACACGTCCGGTGTGCAATAGAGTAAACAGTCGCCTGCAGCAGTTAGCCTACTTGTAATAAAATGAAAGTAAAATACACAAATGACATTAAGATACTTGTGTTTCTGTATAAATAAAGCAGTAATTGATGTCATAAAATCACAAGTCTGTTTTGATTTAAAGGTCAGAAACTATAGCTTACCCGAATAAAAATCACGAACATGACACTTGCATAGGCTATTAAATAATTTAATATATACAGATTTATTAATTCATATGTAATATATTTTTTTCAAATGGACTATGAAAACTTAAATACAAGGAGCTCTAAAATATTTTTAGAATTTTTAAAGCTCTTTTGCTTTAGACCATCTATTAATGTTAAATACACAAATAAAATGTTAAGGTAAAAAAATAACAAAAAAAACAGCAGAGATTGATTTTATTATAGTTATTTTCAAAGCTTTCAATATACTCATTAAAAAAACTTTGATAAAGTTTATTAGTTCTAAGAAATAAGTTTTTGCTCAAAACTAACCAAAATTCAAAATAATTTGTTTATAATTTCTGCACAGGAGAGAGTTGGTGTTGTTTCAAAACAAAAGGAAATATATAATGGCTATCGAGCCAAAATGAGTTGCCGGATATTGGCAAAAATCTAATATTGTGCATCCCTACAGCTGAGGGAAAGAAACGGTTCCTGAGTCTGCTGGTGCGGCAGCGAAGACTCCTATAACATCTCCCAGATGGGAGTGGAGTAAACAGTCTGTGGCTGGGGTGAGAGGAGTATTTGATAATGCTTCTCACCTTCTTTAGGCAGCGTATGTGGTGAATGTCTTTGATGGAGAGTAGCTGAACACCTGTGATGTATTGGGCAGTTGCTGAAGGGCTTTCTGGTCTGAGACAGTGCAGTTGCCGTACCACACTGTGATGCAGTTTGTTAGGATGCTCTCAATAGTGCAGTGGTAAAATTTCAACAGGATGTGGGGGGGACAGGTGAGCTTTCCTTAGCGTCATGTGCCGTTTTGATAAGAGTGGAGGTATTGAGGGTCCAGGAAAGATCCTCAGAGATATGAACACCAAAGAATGTGATGGTGATTAAGAGTGGTGATCTACAAGTGAGACTGATTGAAAATTTATTCTGTCATTAACTTATTTAATTTCAAACCTGTATATTGTTAGTTTTTTGGTTTTTTTGTGAACACAAAAGGAGAATTTAAGTGTCTTGCCACAAGTCTTTTCAGCAAACAAGGGTTTATCGTGATGAGTACATCAAAATCCAAAAAGGACATTAAAGGGGTCATATGATGCGATTTCAAGTTTTCCTTTCTTTTTTGGAGTGTTACAAGCTGATTGTGCATAGATAAGATCCCTGAAGTTGCAAAGACTGAAGTCTCAAAACCAAAGAGATATTCTTTATCAAAGTTAAGACTCTGCCACGCCCCCCTAAAACGGCTCGTTCTAACACGCCCCCACATATCTACCTCACTATGTGGAAATATTAGCATAATGCCACCCAAATGTGCACGCAAACAAAGAAGGCGGGGCATATAGGACCTACAATAATGTACAGTATTTGAAAAATAATGTGCTTTTTTAACATTAGAGCATGTCAACATATTCTGTTACACCAAATACACAAAATAATGATCTTTAAAAAAGCATCATATGACCCCTTTAAAAACACCATGAAAGTAGCTCATAGTAGGCTTATTTTACTTATACATTTAGTTATACATTTGGACTGTATTGATGTTTTTTTTTCTTTCTTTCCCAATGTACAGCAGGCCTTAATTAATAATATCAAAGAAGAAATCCAAAATTTCAGAAACAACTGTAAGTGTATGCTGAATGAAGATGGTGAACCTAGAGGGGAGGAAATGACATGTCAAGAAACTCAACAGCTTCTGCAAGAACTGAAAATGAAAGATGAGCAGCTGAATGAACTTAAACTTGAGTGCTGTTCACTTGAGAAAAAAGTGTGTGATCTCTCTGATAGATTGGCAGAGCAGACTCATGCACATGAAGCTACTGTGGAGATGGAGAGAGCAGAGGTCAACAAAGTCACAAATGAGAACAAGGCTCTTGCCAATGATCTACATGTACTGCAGCAAGCGGCCAGTGAGATGAGCTCAAAGCTCAAAACTCTCCAGATGGAATTGAGCACTCAGACAAAGATTGCCAATGAGCTTTCAGAAGAACTCGATGCAGCCAAAACCTTGATTAAGGGACATCAAGCAGAGTATAGCAGTCAGTCCAAATCTATTGAATCCTTAATGACGGAGGCAGATAATTTGCGTCAGGAACTCAGAGCCCGCCAGCTCTCACATGACAAAACACAGGCTGAATGTGAGAGGATGGTGGAGTTGTCTCATGAGAAGAGCCGACAGATCAATGACCTGGAGCAAGAGGTCAGCCAGACCAGAGCAAACATGTGCCAGCTGGAGGAACTCTGCAGTCAGCTTCAATATGAGCGTGATGCACAGGCAAAGGAGTACCAAAGTCTCCTGAGCTGTTATGAAGCTCAAAAGGTTGTTGTGGCCGAAATAAAAAGCAACTCTGAGCTCCTGGAAGAGCTGAATGTTCTGAATCATCAGCAGGGTAGGATAGAAGAACAAGATCAAGACTCCAGAGATGATTGTTGGAAAAAACTACAGGACAAACTCATTCAAACGCTGAGCAAACTGAACCAGCACGAGGAGGTTCAGAACATAGTGAGAACAATTGTAGAGAATGAGATCTCTGAGGTAAGAGACAAGGCCAAGAGGAGAATAACTGCAATGGAGAAAGATCTGGCTCATAAAGACGAAGAATCTATGAATTAAGTAATAGAGCTTTCGAATCACTTGCGTCAGGAACTCAGTGCCCGCCAGCTCTCACATGACAAAACACAGGCTGAATGTGAGAGGATGGTGGAGTTGTCTCATGAGAAGAGCCGACAGATCAATGACCTGGAGCAAGAGGTCAGCCAGACCAGAGCAAACATGTGCCAGCTGGAGGAACTCTGCAGTCAGCTTCAATATGAGCGTGATGCACAGGCAAAGGAGTACCAAAGTCTCCTGAGCTGTTATGAAGCTCAAAAGGTTGTTGTGGCCCAAATAAAAAGCAACTCTGAGCTCCTGGAAGAGCTGAATGTTCTGAATCATCAGCAGGGTAGGATAGAAGAACAAGATCAAGACTCCAGAGATGATTGTTGGAAAAAACTGCAGGACAAACTCATTCAAATGCTGAGCAAACTGAACCAGCACGAGGAGGTTCAGAACATAGTGAGAACAATTGTAGAGAATGAGATCTCTGAGGTAAGAGACAAGGCCAAGAGGATAATAACTGCGATGGCGAAAGATCTGGCTCATAAAGACGCAGAACTAGAGACTAAAGCCCAAGAGCTTTCGAAGTAAGTTCTCATTTCTCATCCAAACTTTCTGATAACTCAAGAAGTGTAGGTCCTTATTTCTGTTGAGTCAGTGACTTGTTTTATATTCACTAGATCTTACTATTCATTCTTTTCAACTGTTTATTTGTAGTTGGTTTTAGTGATCTCTTGGTCTTTTTATATAGGTTGAGAGAAGTTGTGAACGATGGACGTAATAAAATCAAGACCTTGAGTTGCGATTTGCAGCAGGTGGAGAGGGAGCGATCTGCTGTCAGAGATCAATTATGTGAGGCTAACATGCAGAAAGAACAGTTAGAGAAACAGGTTGGAAAAATCACTGCTTTTATCCATTGTTAGTGTTCTAAAAGTGATTTAAACAGGGTTTTTTTTTAAACAATCCTTTTTTTCCATCAGATTTTGATCTTAAATGAAGAAAACAAAATGTTTCAGCAGAGGCTATATGAAGCAAATGAGCTGAGGGATCAGGCTGGACACAATTTGAGCTGTACAGAGCAATCTATTGACCCACAGCAGACTGTGAGTGCTGCTCTTTCTCTCAGCTTTGTTCAGTTTATGTTATCAGGTATTAAATGCTGGATTATTCTACATCTTTTCACTCACAGGTGAAGTCTAACCATGTCATAGAAGAGGAAAACATACAGCCTTTCCAAACAACCTGTCAAGGTAACCTATTTATCTTTTCATTTAAACCCCTTTTTCCCGCAGTACCAACTAAATCGGCTTACGTTTTGTCCTTAGTAAGATTTTGTTTGCAGATCTTTTGGCAGAGCAGAAGCTGATTAAGGAGACGTGTGGTAACGTAAATAACAAGTGCACACTGACAGATGAGGAGGAATTGCTGGAGGCCAAACTGAATGAGACTGAATCCATAGCTGAAGGAGTCTGTTCTAATTGTAATTCGTATAAATCTCTGCTAGACAACATACTGTGAGAAGTCAGCAAGATTCAATTTGGGGAATTCAAAACATATAGTTACTTCAATGCCAAGTAGATACAAGAAAAAAAAGATGCCAGACTTTCAGAATTAACCGTATTCATTTATTACTCATATTAATCTAATATGTTAATATTAATTAAGCAGCAATATTGACTTTTTAATTCTCTATTTTTAATTTAAATATATCACTTATGACTATTAAATGATTGTTAAACGTAATAATAATTTTTATATCTTCTATTTCTAGTTTAAATTTATTAATTTATATGAACACATTTTATTTGTATTCTATAATTATATCTCCTACATTTAATACTAATCAAACAGCAATATTTACAAGGAAAAGGGAAAAACACTGCTTTTAATTTATTCCTTTGTTCTTCACTGAGTTTACTTAAAGTAAATTGTTTTTGTTAATATATACACTACTAGTAATTTTGTTAATATATACACTACTATTTTGTATGTGTTTTTTTGGGGGGGGAGGGTTCTTTTTTTTTCATTCATCAAAGAATCTTGAAAAAAAAAAAAAAGATTTCCTCACAAATATTAAGCAGTGCAACAAATTTGTCAACATTGATAATAAGAAAAGTTTATTGAGCACCAATCAGCATATTAGAATGATTTCGGACGTATTATGTGATACTGAAGACCGAAATTTTACTGGTATTAGTATCATCTACTGAAATTCTGGTGTCATGGTAACACTGCTTCCGTTACACTGTTCAGTTCACCTGTCTCACCCGTAACTGAAGCTAAGCTCAGACATCTCTGTTCTTGTCAGATCTTGCACAACTGCAGGAGATGTATCAGAAACCAAGTGTTGGTGTCTCGGTTGAACCTCAGCAGGAAGAACAGAGAGCTTGCAGGCCTGCAGAAAACACAAAGGTAAGGAAGTCTATGATCCCTCCAACTTTTCCTCAACTGGGTTTTGCCAGCAGTAAAAAAAAAAAATGTCAGCCTAATGAGGAGCAGGCAGATGATAAGCAGGAAAAGGGGCTGGATGGAGCAGCCATGAGGAAAGTGGCTCAGGCAGCAAGGCAGGGTGACCAACAGGACAGGCTGCAGCTGCAGCTGGAGCTGGTAATAGGATCAGCTTTCCATCTCTCTCTCTCTCCCTGCCACATTATTTTCTTTTTCACAGGCTTGAGGGCAGGATTTAGCTCTGAGTAGTAATTTATTTACGCAGCAGTTTTCTGAGTTAATATCATTTTTGTGGTGACCTGAGTGACCTGCCAACAGGAGGAATGACAGGACTACAGCAGGACAGTAATATCACTGCAGAAGAGTGGAATGTGCAAAACTCTATTTTCTTGAACCACTAGTCATCTAGTACAGGTAGGATCATGTAAGACATGTTTTTGCATGCAAAAGCATGACGCAGTGGAGCAGGATGTAGCGGTCTCAAGACACGATTTTAAAAAGTTGGGCTATTTTTTATTTGACATGCCACCTTAGTGCAAGATATGATACAAGTTCAGTGATGTCCATCTGAATAGTGCTTTAAACAGCATTCATTTGATTATGCATTTTCTCCATCTGCACTTTACTGAGCACTACTGCTAATATACTGTATATACAAGTAATCTAGATCAGTATCAGCTACTGTGTTTTTTTGAATGGTTGATACCACTATTAGAGAGCAGGTTGGCTGGCACAATAATTAATTGATTCAACTTATTTTATACCGTATTTGCTCAAAGTCCACCAAAAATTGTAAAATTGCACTACTCTGATTTAGAATTTTAAAAAAACTGACACTGAGTGGAATGGCCATTTTTATTTGGCAAGTTGAGGAATGTTATTGGCCAAAGCCTAATTATTTCTGAATGACTAAATATTGCCTCATTGATCATTCTGATCAATGTAACAGCCTATCAATAGTTAAGATGTTGAATTATTAGGCCATTGCGAATTAAAGCAAACTGAAGGATTTTAAAATGCTTTAAATCAGTAACAATGTTTGATGATAGTGCTAGTATAATATTAGAACATTTTAATATAATATTTATTATTTAACATAATCTTTTTTCTTCTTCACTCCCTGCATACTGATTACAGGAAATTTTAAAGCAGCAGCTGGCTGAGAAACAGGATACCATTGTGAAATTACAAAGGGAAAAAGATGATTTGTCTGTTTCTTGTAAAGCTGTTACCCAGAAAGTTGACCATCCCAAACAGACATCAAAGGTTAAGACAGAGAATGAAGGCAACTATTTTACACCACTTAAACCTGAGCGAAAGAATGTCAGGAAACCAGGAGAAGAAGAGTCTGTCACGAAAAAACTCCGAAGTACAGCCAGAAAGAGAAAGAGCCCAGAGTTGGAGGTATACAGACACCATGTCTAAACATTTTGTTGTGCTTTCTAAGCAATCAAAAATATGAAAGGTTCCCATGGTCAGGAAATTTCAAAAGTGTGAGTTTTCACATCTGGAAATGTCATGAAAAGTTTCCATAGTCTTTCCCCTTTTTTAATTATGCTCAGTTCTCAAGTATTTCTCAAGTTAGAATTTACTCTTTGTGAGTGCAGTATCTATAAAATGATTTTCAGCACAAATGACTGAAAAAGTAATTTTAAAAATTGTGGAAATTCACTGGTCAGAACCCTTAACTAGTCCTGCATTCATTTCCATACTATACATTAATTTACATTTTATAATACATATAATTAAACCTATTAATTTATTAAAATATGCCAACATGATTAATCATTATACTTTTTCCATAGTTAACACATTCAGTTCCCTGTTAAGGAAAGATCATTTAAACATTCTAATGTCATGATAATGATTACATTTCACAAGAAAAATAATGCAAATGTGTTTACTTTTGGGATTAATTTATAAATAAATTAGCCATAAAAAAGTGTCTTTGTATTGCAGCTATAATTAGTTGCAGTAAACTCTGAAGGTTCCAGTCTATTTTAGAAAGCCTTGTCAAATTGCAAGACATTTAAAAAATGAACAATGAAACATTAATCAATTGTGCTAACACATTAACTTGGTCATCATACATATAATGCAACACATAATCATATAACTTGTGTTATATGTGTTTGTTATTCTAGAGCTCTGTGGAGTCAGAAAATCGGAAAAACCGACGGCTGAAGGTGAACAACAGGAAAAACATGCAGTCTATTGAGGTGACTTTCTGTCCATTAATACACCTGTGACGTCTCACGTCTTTCTCTGTAATGTTTATTTGATAATATGCTGAGCTAGTTGTATTCTGTATTTTTGCACCTCACCAGACTCCCACAGTGCAAGGGAAAAAGGTGAGTCAATTAAAGCAGAAAGGCTCAGCCAGCCTGAAAGGGAAAAAAGACGGAGCCCTGAAAAAGATTGATGACTTTATCCAGAGCTCTCCAAACCTCTTTGGGAGCAAAGGTCAGCTCTGTCTCTTAATTTTACACTCAGTCAATAGCATGGATTGGAGCTCTCTGCCAAAATTGTTTCATACTGTATCTCAGCATGACCCAACTTTTAACTCTATCCTCAGCCAAAAAGATCATAAGCATGGTGAATGTTAAATCCCCTGAACCGCTGAATCCTTCTGAAAACAACAAACCCAAGAGATCCAAACGAAAGCTCTTCAAGACTCATGTTTCCTCCCCGCTGGACATACCCTATCATCCTGTAAGTGGTGTTTCCTGTGCGTTAGTCACATAAGAGTGAATCATATGTATGTATGAATGAATGAATGAATGAATGAGAAGCATATCATGTGTTAGAGATAATGTTTTGACAACTATGACATTTTTATGTATAAGCCTAAAAAAACAGAGTTGATCATTGTTTTAATTTTTCCAGTGCTACATTTTTAAATACTCTTTAATACTTTTAATACTATTTTTATAATCCCAATTTATTATGCAGAGTAAATTAAGAAGTAAGACATTATATTTGATTTCACTGAACATTGGGCTTTATGGTGCTAAATCATTGCTCTGTTTGTTTGAGTAACCTGAACATCTGGGCACTAGATGTACTAAACATGATAAAATGATACATAAACCATACTTGCTGAAAAGTTTCATGCTTTATCAAAACAATAACATTACCCTGGTAATGTCATGCTTTGGAGAAAGAAAAAAAAGCTCAGTTGTGCTACATTAAATTTTTTATGTCATTATTTATATTTATGAAATGTTCTAAAGCCTTGTTGAATGTGAGTGGTTTTGAGGTGTGTGTGTGTGTGTGTGTGATGTGGTATGGAGGTACAGTTTAAAATGTATTTGTTCAGGTCCTAAAAATGTGTTAAAAAAATTGAAATGCCATGCAGCAATGCTGTCAGGTAAATGCGTGTTAAATTCATTAAATCATTTTACAGATCATTGGAAGCAGTGATGATAATAAAGAGAGCGATCATCTCATAATCAAGAGAAAACTCAGAACAAGAACTGCAAAGATCCAATGCAAACATTAATTTGCTGGCCAAGTGTAATTCAAGTTTTTTGTTCTTCTAAATTGTCATATATTTTGTTTGCTTAATACCTAAATGTTGTTGAACAGTTCATATTTGTTTCATTAACACTGGAAATGTTTGTAAATATTTTAGAAATGTACCTGGCAACCTTTTTTTTTTTTAATGCCTTTTTAAATTTCCTGTGGTTATGTGACAAACAAAATGCTGTTTATTAAAAAATGCTTAAAAGCAGATATAATTTGGGTTGCATTTCTTATGCTTAGGAGATAAATATTAGCTCAATATGCTCATAGCATTACTGTCCCTTGATGTTGGATTTCATATATCCTTTAAAAAAGCCTCCGGTGAGGAAAACAGTTGCAAACAATCAAGGTGAAGGGGATGAAGAGAATGTTCCAGATGAATGTTTGGGGTCAGCTTGTTGTATGATAGTCATTTATTTCTTCTGTCAGCAAATGGAGGGTGGCTGTCATAAGAGAAGAGTAAGTAATACATTTTATCTCCACCTCTTGATCTCTGCACTCTACACTAACACAGGTCACACCTGCACTAATACACTCCTCACTTTGCGAGGTGAAATAGATGTGACATTGAAAACAAACTTTTTTTTGTCTGTGTGTTTGCATGTCATCGCTGTAGCAACTGTGCTTGTTTGTATTTGCAACTTCCTTTGTGGCACTCGGTTTTAAAAGTGTGCTGTCTTTATTGTGCTCGATAACACATTCAGTGAATGTCCTCTGAGACATCACCATTTTCTGGGGACAGTCCTGGTTTTTGGTGTCCTGTCCCTGGAAATGTCTCCATTTTATTGCACGACAACACCACCCAGCAAATACCCTGCAAAAAGTCAGACCAATATAATCTGGTTACCACAGAAACCGTGCAGTGATTTTCACCAATAAAGGGGCACACTGATAATTTGGTTGCACGCTGCTACTATGTATATTTTTAAAAAAAAACTTAACCTGAACAGAGCACTATTACAATCAGTGCTATCATCAAACTACACCCCGTGAATAAATAATCAACTAAACTATTACACTTGCAACAATTACATTTGCAGAAGGTACTTGTGCTCAAAATGAGCCTAGAATGCAAAATTAAGGCTTGTAGTAGTAGTAAAAGTTATCATTACTGTATACAGTATATTTACTGTTTTAGTTTTATGTTCTATTTATTTTGTTTTATTTTTATGTGTTTGTAATATAATTTTATGATATTATAATGTTTTGATCTGTTTGCTATTTGCAGTGGTTGCTATTTTTCAGTGTGATCATTTTTGTGTATGTGTGAGTGAGTTTTATTAAAGCCAGTTAGGATCGGTGTGACCCACAAACATGATAATTATTAATTATAATAATAGTGCATGGAGCCCACAACAATTAAAAACAAAAACATAAAACATTTTAAAATTCATAGATAATAGCAATTGAGACCACAGTAAGATCTATAATATGCATTTAGAAAATCGGGTGAATTTTAATTTCATGCTGACTTTAATTTAGTAACAGTGCAATGTGAGTTTTAGTATGTGTAAATGTCAATACAATGCTCTATGGTGTCATATTAAATTTAACACCATCAAACAGAAGTGGATTTTAATCGGCCAGGCTTTGCTTTGGTCTCAGCCCCCGCCACAGTGTGATGAATTGATTGACATCTTCACTCTGTCATGGCAGTTCATCAGCTCACTCTCTAGGCAGCAAGTGGTCCGTTAAGGGAATGTGCTTATGTTTTTGACCACTCTTTGTCTGTATTACTGAACAGAGAAAGGGCAATGCTGCGTGGTGCCATGTGCTAAATATGGTCATTTGAAGGTTGGGGGATAAATTTGGTGGCCGATGGCTCATTTCAATCTAATCTGACCCAAATTTATTTCATTTAGATGAAATAAAGTCAGTGTGAAATTCCTTGTAACTGCTGGGGATTTCAGCCAGAGATGACAATTATTTCAAGCAACACTGGTATTGTGTTATGTCTTTGGTTGTCTGTGGGTGACAAACATTAGGGAAAAATATTAATTCAGAGAAATGGTTTTGACTATTAGGACTAAATGCTCATCTACATCCTTAGGTCTGACAGGAGTAAACGGTATAGTGGACTCAGTGCTTTCATGGACAAGGTGCTTTGGTGCCCTAATGTAAACACTGTCATGATGCCCGATTTTAGAGACAGCAGCAGGTGAAATGTCTTGCTAAAGTGGCATTAAATATTGAAATTGGTGCAAGCATGTCAGCTTTCATTTTCTCCTTCATTTGTTTCAGAGTGAAAATCCCATGCTCCTTCCAGCAGCCTTGTGAACATTTTCAGGAGTGCCATATTGAGCTTCATTACTCTCATATCAGAAGGGTCACTGCACCAGCCCAACAACTCATCAATTGCCACAAGATCCCTCAGCAAAAGAAGCAACACATCATTCCTGTGGCATGCAACTGCAATATCACAAGCAAGTCTGAATATCAGCCGAGCATATATTGATCTTATATGTTCTGTAAACAAGTAATCAACATTGTACATCCTTATTACTTTTCTGACAAAAATAACCAGATAGATCGTATTTCCACAAAAAGCCAAAGCTTTGTGTGTCAACGAGCAACACAGACCAAAAGCCATTCTGGAATAGCCTATGTGAGTGGAGAGAAGCGAAAGAGATTTAAGGTCCATTCACACCAGTGGTGGTTCTAGACCACAGTAACTGGGAGGGCCAGGCAGGGACCACTTGTGCTTTTAGGGGGCACACTTTTAAAATTCATCTTAACCTACCTTCAGTATTATTCATTCAGTCATTTCTCACCATGTCATGTATCACTGCAATCTCTAGAAGTAAGCTATAACAATTTCAACCCAAATGAATGTTTCATCAATTTTCTATTGTTGTGTGATAATAATATAAGCAACAGCAGACACTTGGATAGTTTATTTCTCACTACGTGAACATGACTGAAATAAAATATTTTCATTACCTGTATTTTTTACATTTATTTAATTTAATTTTTTTTTTTTTTTTGGTGTAGCTATGGATAAATATGCGAAGCTCCTTCTCTCTGAGGCACACGGCACTGTTGCCAACTCTCGCAAGATAAATAAGCAACCGCAGCTTAAAAACAAGCCCAATATTTTTGGATGATATATTATCATCAATATTATTTATTATCAATTATTTATTACCAATAAATGAGCCTGCAACATATTAAACTGAAACCACCCTTTTATCTGAAAAGCAAAAATAGAAGTTATTTTACAAAAATCGGCAAACTGCAACAAAGTGGGAACAAAACTCATCTCCAATCACCTGTGAGCATAACAGGATTGGAGAGATGGAAAAGGAGAAAAACACAAGAGCTTCAAAGGGTAGCTGTAATGGCCATCTATTTATAGCCTACTAAAATATAGGCTATTCGAACCAAATGTGACCCTGGACCAGAGGTGTAAAATATTGGAGTAAATGTAATTCGTTACTGTACTTGAGTATCTTTTCGGATACTTTGTAGTTGTACTGAGTATCAAAGATATTAGCAACTTTTACTCTTAAGTATTTGTGAATCACAGGTGTTTTATATATAAGGACATGACTGCAGCTGGCAATGAGGCCGAAACCAGCACATCCACTGCAAGAAGGCTTTGGCTTTTTAATTTTACTTAACATTATTTTATTTATCCATTCTTCGGCTTTTTAGGTACTTTTAGGTACTCTTTACACCTCTGCCCTGGACCACAAAACCAGTCATAAGGGTTTTTCGAAATTTAGATTTATACATCATCTGAAAGCTGAATAGATAAGCTTTCCATTGATGTATAGGATAGGACAATATTTGGCCGAGATACAACTATTTGAAAATCTGGAATCTGAGGGTGCAAAAAAATCAAAATATTGAGAAAATCACCTTTAAAGCTGTCATTCTGTTGCACTGTGGAGCTTCTGTCACTAAAACAAATTCCTCGTATGTGTAAACATACCTGGCAATAAAGCTCATTCTGATTCTGATTCTGATGTTGTTCCAGGATCAACAAGGATGTTGATCCAGGAACATGTTGTACTTGGTGAAATCACGGTCACCGCTACAAATATACCCCAGCGACTTAAGACTTGTTTTGTGGTCCAGGGTCACAAATGTATTTACTCTTAGTATTAGTAGCCTATAGGACTACTTGTTTTTTATTACAGCCCGTGATAATTAATACATTACAAAAACATTGTAAAAATTAAAAATTAGGCTAAAAGAAAGTCATCCTACTCCTCTACGTCTACTTCTATCATGGCTTGGATTACAGCGTCACGCGCCTTCTTTTTGAACGTGATTTTCTCCAATGAGGGTGAGGAGGGGGCGTAACATTTGGCAAATTACGCTGCAGCACTTTTATATTATTGCACTGGTTGGCTATTAACTGTGAGCAGCAGACAGAGTGTCAATCAATGCATTGGAGGATACGGCGAACATAAAGAAACAAAGTTGCTTGCCAGAATTCCCTGACAAGCAACCATATTTTTTTAAATAAGCCCAAAAAACTGCAACCCGGGATTGTTTCACGCAACTTTACAAAAAAGGAAGCACAAAGTCGCGTATAATACGCAGACTTGGCAACTCTGGCACGCGGTCTCTGCATGCATTCTGGCTTTGGGTAATTTCCTCTTGACATAAATATTATGGCACAATGAATTACTTTTTTCCATTATTGCCACCCACAGGACAAACTGCGCATTCAAATTTAGGGGGGCCATAGGCCCCCCTCCACGGATACCTGTTTATCTGGTTTTGGTTTTGTCTTGAAGTTAAATATTAACATTCGTCATTGTATCATTTGTAGGGAAGAGAAGCCATTTTATCGCTTTGCATGATAAAATGACAAATCAAAATGTTTTCCCTTAGGTTTTGTAGAATTTCGTTTACAATGTTGATTTGATTACCGTGTCGCACGCTGGACGCTCACTGCTCCGGCCATCATATGGTGGAAAATCCAAGTGAAAGTATGTGTTCAACAAGCTGACAGAAGTCCATCCATTTCTTTGTTAGAAACATTTCAGTGATGGTATAATTGTTGTCAATGTAAATAGCCTACAAATTTTTCCATGGACATGGAAGAGAATCAGATATTGTGGGTCACCTTCAGCGGACAGACACGAACACACTGTATTTTTTA